TAAAGAGACCAGCATCAAGGCACCTCCCTTGAGGGAATAACTCATTATTTCATCATATTTAGTATCACTTCATGTCATTATCTTCATTCCAAGTATAATTTTTATCAGAAGTTTTATTTTGAATCATTTCTACTGTGAATATCATTAATGTTATAAATACATATGTAAAATTCTCTCTCATCACATTGTGTAATAATACAGATAACTAGTTTCACTCTTCTAGTAATTTTTATTAGAATTTTACTGTGAATTAACAGAAAAATCATAGTATAATCTAAGGGTTCTTATACATTCATATACATTTGTTTAATATTCATGTGTGCAAAATACCATAGTCCTTCTAGACCCTAAGTTAGGTTTAAGTTTGCCTAAAATGCTCTGCATAATTAAGGATAGGTAAGCAAGCCACGGTACGGGTGGAGATAGAGCTCGTGGCAAGAGTCATAAAACCCCAGGCCAGTGTGTAAGCCACTGGGCCAGCTGGCTACAATAAGATTCATCCAGCTAAGTATTTTTATACGCAATAGAGAGGTTAGCACGGGTCCCATTGTGACCACCAATCCAAGTTTTTACAGACGAATCTCCCCATCATTCCTCTATATACAAAGATTTTTCTGTGTCCAAGACTTTTTATTTCCATTCATTAACTCTTTTATTGCTAGTTTTATTTCTTTTTATTACAAAGTTTCTTATGTGCATTCATTATACTTGTTATTTTTACTGATATTTCTTCATGTACTTATACTTTTATTCCATTTTTCTCCATTTACCACTATATTATTACATATAACCAAAAGAGGCCCTAAACCTACGAGGGTCATATAACACAACAGGGCAGGGAGTAGTGCAGGATCATAGAAAAGTAAGGGTGGAGAGGATAACAGAGGAGAGTTAGAAAGGACTGTGAGGATTGCTAAAGGAAGGATTATCAAAGTTTGTGTAATAAGTCAGTTGCTGTTAACCACTACCAAATCTACTACTGTTTCATTTTGTATACTCAAAATGCTGTACCACAAATTGGGATTAAACTAAATTTTTCTGTGGTGAGGTCATGCTAGTATAGCCAGGGTATACTGACTATCTCAACTTTCCACAGGAATGACACCACTGGATGTTGCCAAGGCCACAAACAAATCAGAGATCATTAGTCTCATTGAAGGTAAAATAATTTATTTTATCAATTTGAATTTTATTTTTGGGAATAAGTTTCCCCTAAGAATGATTAATGTGAGGTTAGATTTATTGGTGTGAAGGAGGAAAAGCATCTGATAGGTTAAACATTATTGTGATTAGTTTTTCACTATGGTAGAAATTTACCCATGATTTTCACGTAGTTTAGTTACTTAGCTGTTTTAATTTTTAAGGTTTACGTAAGTTATTACAATACAAAGACTCCAACGGAAATAAGTCACCTTGTCTGACTTTTTTGGGTTATCCAGGTGGGTAATTTACACGCATTACTATGTATGATAATTTATGTTGTATTTGTGTGTACCTTATAATGCAATTATCAAAAATGAATTACTGCAGATATAATATGTTGGGAAATGCTATGAAAACAGTTTTTCCACTGAGAAGTATCATAGTGTTGATGGTTGTGGAAGTATGGAACAAAGTTTATTTTGAAGTCTTGTTTCTGTAGCATGGTTTACATACACCTGATTATAATGTAAGCTAGTCATAGTACACTTTTAACATACTCTTACCATAATTTATGTAATGTTGGGCTGCACCTATATAGTAACTTAGGGTAAATTACTTCATTTCCAAGTGTTGTTCTGATAACTGAATGGGCAGTTTCTTGTACTGAAATAACAGAATGGAAGGGAAATTAGTGAAATATCTAGGAATTTGGTCAATTTGAGCAATGAGTCTCAAACTGGATGAAATCACCAATGTGTAATTCCAGGTTTTCTATCAAATTTCATGTTTAGTGTCATTATCTTCACACACACAAAAAATCTCTATCAATTCAAATTTTTTTTAAATCATGATACTGTCAGCACTTAATTTTGGGGGTTATGACAGTGAAAGTATTAACATAAGAAATGTGTTTTTAACAGCATTTCTCTCTTAAAAGGACACAATGCAGCTGGCTGCAAGTAGGACATTTAACTCTCGAAGAAGATTCGTCCTCATCTTCCCATCTTATTTATTGGTGAGTTAGAAATGGTATTCAGTTTAGAATCTTCACTGCATGCCATTATTCTTCACTTTATGACCCCAAGGAATCATAAAGTGATTTAGGAAATTGGAAGCAATCAGGTTTGATCCAAGGAGAGTAGCTCCAATTCCTTGGACCAAAAGCTGTTCACCAGCATCATGGCACCTCCTTTGAAGAGACTGCATATCATAGATTACTAGTCAGTTACCTACTGGTACAGTATATCTTAACCTTCTTGTTTTTTAATTCATTATTTTATCATACAGTACATGTATTATAATCATGGGGAAGTTCTAACCCCATAGTGGTCATATAATACCCAGGTGATGAGAAATATTTAGGTTTCATGACCATTTAGGTCAGAGTGCTTTTTAAAATCCAACTGTCTCCTCTCTTATTATAATCATAACCAAGGGCTAAACCCATAAGGGTCATACAACAATGTCTACGACTATTTAACAAATCAAATCTGATCAGCACCCATTTTCCTACGTGGTGTATAACCCCTGTGGGTCTAGCACTCCCCACGATTATAATAATAACATGACATTAAATATGATTTATTACAACAACTATATTATTTATAGGAAAACACTAAAGCCACAAGAGTTACATAGCATTTCAGGAATGGGAGCTTAATTCAAGGAAGAGGGTAACTCCAGTTCTTAAGATGAAGACATGTACATTCAAGGGAGTAGAGTGCTAAGGCCGTGTGAGGTAAACAGTGCAGGAAGGGCCGGTGTGATGAAAGGCACCCAGACTCAATTCAAGGAACTGGAGCACAGGTCCAATTTCTGAGATTAAGAGTCCCTCACCACTATCACGGAACCTCCATTCAGGGGCTTGTGATAGTCTCTTTTACCAACATCAGGGCACCTCTCTGACTTTTTATTATTATTATTATTATTATTATTATTATCTTTGAAGGGTGCATCAACAATTCCTAACTTTGTTTTTTATTCTTGTGCCCACTCTCTACACTTCCGTCCTCTAATGTCAACACTGTGAATAATGTAGCAATTTGCTAATAGATATGGTGAGAGCAATGGATTTATAATGGAACAAGTTGCACCCCAGTGTACACTTGTTTTGAAAAGAAAGAAATTTTAGTTTTCCATCGAAAGCATGATAATTATATTCACAAGAACATATTAAATGCTCGCTGAAAGAGTGAAATTCTTTCTGACCAGATCTGACTGAAGGTGTAAAAAGTCTGTAATTGGACTTTTCAAGTACTATATAAAAACAAGGGACTGTACACACTAGTAGGTCCTATAGTGCAGCACTACATAAGAACAAGGGAATATACATGCTAGTAGGTCCTATAGTGCATATTGTATAAGGTTTATACAATAAAACTATTTCCCATGGATCTGTAGGGGAAGGAAGGCGGGGTAGGGGTCGTCCTCGAAAAGGTTGGAGGGAGGGGGTAAAGGAGGTGTTGTGGGTGAGGGGTTTGGACTTCCAACAAGCATGCATGAGCGTGTTAGATAGGAGTGAATAGAGACAAATGGTATTTGGGACCTGATGATCTGTTGGAGTGTGAGCAGGGTAATATTTAGTGAAGGGATTCAGGGAAACCGGTTATTTTATATAACCGGACTTGAGTCCTGGAAATGGGAAGTACAATGCCTGCGTTCTAAAGGAGGGGTTTGGGATATTGGCAGTTTGGAGAGATATATTGTGTATTTTTATATGTATATACTTCTAAACTGTTGTACTCTGGGTACCTCTGCAAAAACAGTGATTATGTGTGAGTGAGGTGAAAGTGTTGAATGATGAAAGTATTTTCTTTTTGGGGATTTTCTTTCTCTTTGGGTCACCTTGCCTCAGTGGGAGATGGCGAGTTGTTGTTGTTGGGGGGGGGGGATTCCTTTGGACCTTCCTATACATCTCCCCTTGTACATAGGGATCTAAATTATACATATTGCTTGTCTAACCCATCAAGAGAGGCTCCTTGATGGAAGTTGGATGTTATCGAAGAAATACATTATAGTGATGTTTTTTCTTGCTCACAGATATGCTCTAACATTAAGTGTTATTCTAGTGGATAGGTACATTCTGAATGAGCTTGTGCTTTGCTAGTTCATTTTCTTCTTGAAGAGCCTCTAGTTTACTGCAGGCTAGAGGAGAGTAACTGAAGTGACTCACTATTTGCCTGCCACACTTAGTATGGATGTCTCTTATTACTCTCTGTTCCAGAATACAGTGGAACCTCAAAAATCGAACTTAATCCGTTCCAGGAGCTAGTTCTAAATTCGAAAAATCTGAAATTCGAAGCAATATTTCCCATAACAAATAATAGAAATACAATTAATCCGTTCCAGAAACCCAAAAATATTCACACAAAAAATACATTTTATAGAGATTAATTACAGTTTTACATACAACAAATACTGTACTATAGTTTTTAATTATGTATAGTAATACATATAAAATAACATTTTTACTTACCTTTATTGAAGATTGGTGATGGCATCTGGAAGATAGGGAGGAGGAGAGAGGGAGTTGGGGTTAGTGTTTGGAAGGAGAATCCCCCTCCATGAGGACTTCAGGTAAAGCCCTCTCTGGGGTTACTTCCCTTCTCTGTCTTTTAATGCCACTAGGACCAGCTTGAGAGTCACTGGACCCCTGTCTCACAAAATAACTGTCCACAGTCCTCTGTTTCTGGCGCCTCTTTAACATTTCCCTAAAATGGGACATGGTTCTGTCACTGAACTTGTTGCAAAGATGGCTTGTTTCAGCTTGCTCAGGGTGGTACTTCTGCACAAACATTTGGACATCATTCCACTTGGCACAAATCTCCTTAATCTTTGAAGAAGGCACCTCATCCACTCCCTATATTAACACCTTTCGCAACATCAGCTTCCTTGATTTGTTCTTTCTTTGACAGGATAGAACCGATGGTCGACTTGTTTTCCCATACATGCTGGCAAGCTCAACAAGTCTCACACCACTCAAATACTTCTGTATTATTTCCTTCACATCTATGGTGTTTCTCACTTTCTTTACCACAGGGGTACCACTAGCAAGTTTCTTTGGGTCCATGGCAGCTTATTTCACAGTCCCACAAGCACTAAACACAATGAAATAATCGTAAAATGCGTGAATGAGAGCGCAGGTTAGTATTCACTCAAGCATAAACAAAGCTAGACTGCTCATGGCGCCTGTGCGGGGACGCAGACAGAGCGGGCCAGCAGACAGGTCCCGTACACAGCAGTCCGAAAATAGGGGCGTGTTCAATAATAGGGGCACAGTTTGTCCGAAAAAATGGTCCTATTTTCGAAATGTTCGATATCTGATACGTTCGATTTTTGAGGCTCCACTGTACAGCCATGGATAGCCATTTCAAGGGTATGCATGTGCTTGTGTACAAGTAACTCTCAATCGTGAGGTAGTGTGTTAATTTTACTATTTTTAAGCACATTTGTTATATTAATATTTTAAAAGTATCAGATGGTACCGGCCACTTTTTCGCCAATGCCAATACAGTGGACCCCCAGTATTCGATATTAATCCGTTCCTGAGAGCTCATCAAATACCGATAATATCGAAAACCGAATCAATTTTCTTCATAAGAAATAATGGAAATCAAATTAATCCGTGCAAGACACCCAAAAGTATGAAAAAAAAAATTTTTACTACATGAAATATTAAGTTTAATGCAATAATTATAATAACAATAAAATAATTGACACTTACCTTTAATGAAGATCTGGTGATGATTGATGGGATGGGAGGAGGGGAGAGGTGTTAGTGTTTAGAAGGGGAATCCCCTTCCCTTAGGACTTGAGGTAGCAAGTCCTTTTCCGAGGTTACTTCCCTTCTTTTAATGCCACTAGGACCAGCTTCAGAGTCATTGGATTTCTGTCGCACAACATATCTGTCCATAGTGGCCTGTACCTCCCGTTCCTTTATGACATTCCTAAAGTGTTTCACAACATTGTTAGTGTAATAGTCACCAGCATGGCTTGCAATAGCTGTGTTAGGGTGATTGTCATCAAAAAAGGTTTGCACACATTTCCTTAATCTTTGAAGTAGGCAACTTCTTCAATTTCTCTATCCCCTCCTCCGAAGCAGTTTCCTCAAGTGTGGCCTCTTGCTGTTGAAGATGATCTATCAGCTCATCAGTGGTTAGTTCTTCACTGTCCTCCTCCACCAACTCTTCCACATCCTCCCCACTAACCTCCAACCCCAAGGACTTCCCCAATGCCACAATGGATTCCTCAACTGGCATAGGATTCTCAGGGTTAGCCTCAAATCCTTCAAAATCCCTTTTGTCTACACATTCTGGCCACATTTTTTTCCAAGCAGAGTTCAAGGTCCTCTTAGTCCCTCCCTCCCAAGCCGTACCTATAAGGTTTATACAATTGAGGATATTAAAGTGATCCTTCCAAAAGTCTTTTAGAGTCAGTTGAGTTTCTGTGGTCACTATAAAGCACTTTTGAAACATAGCTTTTGTGTACAGTTTCTTGAAGTTGGAAATGACCTGCTGGTCCATGGGCTGCAGGAGAGGAGTGGTATTAGGAGGCAAAAACTTGACCTTAATGAAGCTCATGTCCCCAGAAAGTTGCTCTGCCAAGTCTGTAGGATGACCAGGAGCATTGTCTAATACCCGGAGGCACTTAAGGTCTAATTTCTTTTCAGTTAGGTAATTTTTCACAGTGGGGGCAAATGCTTGGTGTAACCAGTCATAGAAAAAGTCCCTAGTGACCCATGCCTTACTGTTTGCCCTCCACAGCACACACAAATTAGCCTTGAGGACATTGTTTTTCCTGAACACTCTGGGAGTTTCAGAGTGATACACCAATAAAGGCTTCACTTTGCAATCACCACTAGCATTGGCACACATGAGAAGAGTAAGCCTGTCTTTCATAGGCTTATGGCCTGGGAGTGCCTTTTCCTCCTGAGTAATGTAGGTCCTGCTTGGCATTTTCTTCCAAAACAGGCCTGTTTCGTCGTAATTAAACACTTGTTCAGGTTTCAGTCCTTCACTGTCTGTGTAATCCTTGAATTCCTTCACATATTTTTCAGCTGCTGTTTGGTCCGAACTGGCAGCCTCACCATGCCTAATCACACTATGTATGCCACTACGATTCTTAAATCTTTCAAGCCAACCTTTGCTGGCCTTAAATTCACTCACATCACCACTAGTTGCAGGCAATTTCTTTACCAAATAGTCATGCAACTGCCTAGCCTTTTCACAAATGATCGCTTGAGAGATGCTATCTCCTGCTATCTGTTTTTCATTTATCCACACCAGTAACAATCTCTCAGCATTTTCTAACACTTGCGGTCGCTGTTTCGTAATCACAGTTGCACCTTTTGCAAGAACAGCTTCCTTGATTGCCGTTTTCCTGGTCACTATAGTATAGAGATGGTTGATTGGGGTTTATTATACAACCTAACCAGCTCCGACACACGCACTCCACTTTCGTACTTTGCAATTATCTCTTTCTTCATTTCATAAGTCATTAGCGACTTTTTTCTCAAAGGGTTGGCACTAGAAGCTTTCTTGGGGCCCATGGTGACTTATTTTGCAGAAACAAGCGCCAAACACAGCGATAATATGGATAATATGGAATGTACTGAATGTATCCTTAGATGTGCGCACACTGGCTGGCTTGTAAACACTGGCACACACGGGGCAGTTCAGGCCACACGTGGACACGTCTCGTACGAATCGTATCGAATACCGGGTTTTCAATCGAATACCAAGGAAATTTTTTTGCGATATATTGCATCGAATACCGGATTTATCGAATACCGATGCCATCGAATTCCGGGGGTCCACTGTACCACAAAATAGTGGTACAGTTTGGCCATCACTAATCCGGCAATCAGTAATCTGGCACTAATTTCGGCTAGCATAATTTCAAATATCTGGGGTCACCACACCAACCTGCCGCTACTTGCTGCATAAATCATTCCAATTTCTTTTTCTCTATTTATTGTTATAACCTGCTCACTTTTAGTCCTAGCCATGGTTCCAACTAATAAAAGAAATGCTTCTCGTTGTGTAAAGCACATACACCATACATTGTCCATAAAAGATAAGGTGGCTTTGAAGCTACTGTCGGTAGCCATGAGCTCAGCTCACTTAGATAAGCTGTGACCGGTAAATTTGGGCCTACATATGAGAGAATAGGTCTGTGTGGTAAGTGTGCACTATATAAAAAAAAAGAACTGCAGCACGCAGTGCATAATGAGAAAAAAAGGTGACTCTGCTTGTGGTGTAACACAGCAACCTTGTAGTGTATTTTCATATGGTTTGTATGATTGTATTCTCGTTTTGGTCTCATTTGATAGAATGGAAAATATATTACAAAAAGAGATATAATTTTGATTGGTTTTGCACCAGAAAGTACCTTAAAACTGAGCTCAAAGTAGTGGAAATGTTAGAATTTTCCTGATGTTCAAAAGTAAATAAATGACATCACCGTCCAATACGTATCCAACTGGCCGGTCTGATACGCAGCCACGAATGGGTCGACACTATTTATGCAATTATTACAATAATGTAGTAGTCTGCATATCAGTAAGTCTTCTATTTTTTGTGAATAAAAATTCAAAATGGAAAGCAAGTGCAATATAAGAGGGGCCTGGAAACATGACTAATGAATAGAGAAAATGTTATTTTAGTGCTAAGAATGTCTGCAGTGTTTATTCTGGACCCTATTTTGAAATTGGCATCTGTGTGAAATTGGCCAAATTATTGATATCTGACCACTTTATTGGGTAGTTGAAATAGGTAAATGTATGGTTTCTTGTACTCAATCGACAGAATAGAAGGAATACTAGCAAAATTGCTACAAGTTTGCATGATTGGAACAATGGAATGGGCCAAAAATAGGGCGTAACGTGGGTGAAATCGCCAATGCATAAATATCGCCACTGGGTTAAGTGTATTCTAACCTTACCACTCTGTAATCTGGCAAAATCACTAATCCAGCACCCTACAGGTCCTAAAAATGCCGGATTAGTGATGGTCAACCTGGATTGATATCAGCAATACACAGATTCATAGGAGGTAAATTAATGTTGAACAAAGATGGTTATCATGACTCCAATTACAATTCAATTATTGTATCTAAAACCTATTTACTCTAATTCTTCCCATGTTATTCTTAAGACAAATACATTCATAAATTTTTACCTGCAGACTTGCGTTGTCTTTTCTGAGTATACTATTTTTGTCATTGCAGAAGCATTTGGTTGCATACATCACCAGCAAGAAGTTGCCTTAAATCTCCGATCACACATCTTCCTGGGAGATTTGTTTTTTAACAATGGCCATTTCCAAGCAAGGTAGAGTGACCCGTCGCAGTTAAAGTGAAGGTGTTGTATTGTATTCATGATTATTAAACTGTGCGTGTTACTAAGCCCTCATATCACAAGACTAAATATCAAAATTGTTTAAAATAACTATTTTTCTAACACTCATACTCATTGCTGTTGTAATATATTACCATCATTTTCTTACATAACTGCTTTAGACATGAAACATTATGGGTCTTCTAGCCATAAGACTGAATCTTTTCTAAGGTTGTCCAAAAGAGATTTATATGCACATGTGATGACCAGTTTAAAATCAATGCCTACCTCATTCCTAATTACTTACTGTAGTTAGTGTAAACTTAATTGAAACTGGCATTATGCCTCTTGCTTTTTTTTGGGGGGATGCATGAAATACTTGTATACGTTACTATAGCTCTCTTGTAATTACGAACTTTTCTACCATTAATTTCTACTCAAGGAAAAAAAATATGTACGTAGTTTAATTTTCTGTGTAGTTTAGCACAGAGAGATGATTCTGAGCCTTTAAGCCAAACGTGTGATAATCTGCATAGTTGTTATACAGTAGTTTATAAATTCAATTTTATACATCCTAACACTGTTATTTGTATTAATGTATAATCAATACCTTTGTATGATACCACATACTGGCGTATGTTATGATGTCTTTTAACAAGAATAACATGAAAGAACAACTTTTATATTTGACATTAAATTCATTAATCCATATCAAAATGCTTTTGTTAAGCCAGCTGGCTAGTTGTGATTAATGCAAGCACCTCCTGCTGCATTATCCTGTAACACAATTTTAGATTATTATTTAAAGTGTTGTGGGGCAAAACAGCTTCTTTTATAGCAGTCTTGGTTTTATGGGCAGGATTTTCAGTGTTAACTTAAAATGCAATATTGCACTCCTTTTATTAACATGAAAACACTAAGAAAAGGTAATAAAGAGTAAACTTTTAAGAATATGCTAGCTCTTATTAGAACCCCCACCATACTATATTCACAATATTCTCTAAAATGAAAATTATTCCAGAGCAAAAATTTGATGCTGAAAAATTCCTTCAAGACAAGATAAGAGAAGGGGCATCCTATTTCAATTTCAGTCATTCTCCTATTTTTTAAACAAAGTCATACTCAATGCAAATTCTAATACCCAATACACTTGTCCCCTGCTCAGCATCCAGGATGCTTTCTAGAGAAATTGGTTACCACATGAACCCCAGTTTTCCAAAGACACCCATGTTAAAATTAGACATGTATTCAGCAGGGAAAATTTCCTGTATACTCTTTATATTAACACTGAAATTATACAGATTCTGTACTCCCCAGAGAGGCTTCCTTTTTTTGGGTTGACAACTTGTCAAAATGCAGCATGAAAATGATCGTTACTGTAGTGTAGAACAACTGAATTATGATAGTTTAAATGGAGAAAGCTGTTAAGACTGAATGGAAAGTGAGTTTGGTTAGACTGAATGGAGAGAGCATTTAATTAGACTAATTGGAGAATGCGTTTGATTAGGCAATGGAGAAAAAATTTCGATAAATAAACTGGGGAATGAGTTTCGTTAGACTTGAATGCATTTGATTAGACTGAATGGAGAGTGAACTTGATTAAACTGAATGGAGAGTGAGGAAGTTATGTTAGACCACTGTGATCCTAATCACTAACTCAGGTTTGCACTCACCTTTGTTGGCCAACAACTTGGAATGTTATAAAATAATGGACTGATAATCTGGGAGTACATGGGCATCTGGAATAACAAAATGTTAGTGGCTAGTGATGTCCAGTGAAGCAATACAAATGAACAGTGAAGACAGGAAATAATGACCAGAGAGCAGTTATGTGCTGTTATTCTGTGCCCAGTTAGACAACGAGATGCAATAACAAATTAGTGTTTAGTGAAATAGATCGACTGATTTGTGCTGCTGATGCAAAACTGTAATTTATATAATATTTAATTTTTGCTAAACCCATCACTTACTGCTCTATACTTATCAATAAAACTATGACTGTATCAGCGTTTCCTTAATCATCATCTACAAACATTTACAGTCTCTCCTCACTTAACAATGTACTCGTTTAACGCCTGCTCAGACTTACAACCTGCTCTCTGACCAGTATGCATACCTAAGTAATGTATATTAGGGCTGATTTCCTCTATTCTGTTTATTACAATATACAGTACACTACTGTATAAACATTTAAAAATATACTAAAATTGTTATAAATGATGCAAAGTTGACATTACAACAATATCTAAAGATATTCATTAAACAAATGACCAGTTTGTTTACTGACCTACTTTTAGGAAGGGAACTCCATCATTAAGTGAGGAGAGACTGCATATAGTTTGTATGCCTTCTGGCAAGTCATTTGAAGTTCTTTTCAAATTGTCTCCTCAAACCTGAAACTGAGGATTCAAAATTGCAATTCTACTTTCTCCTTGAAGACATACAGTACAGTAGGGCCCCACTTATACGGCAGGTTTGGTTCCAGGCTACCGCCGTAAAGCAGAAATCACTGTAAAATGGAACACCCAATTTTTCCACATATAAATACTAGATAACAAGTTTACACTAACATATATTAAGTTAGCAATAGAACTAGGCATTAAAAAACAATAAAAAAGTAAAATACACATATAATACACTCATTATTTACCTTAAAATATTTGTAGTCTTAATCTAGGGCGAGATGAGTAGTATTTATTATAAGAAATCAAGTGTGTTATGTATGGCAGCCAGCCAGGCTACCATACTAGGCCAACCCACCCACACATAATATTCTGACATTTAAGCATCTCAGAGCGACCCCCATTCTCATGTAACACCATTTTTAGAAGAAATGAAGCTCTGAGTGAAGGCAATGGAAATAAGTCACTGACTTATTTTTGGGTTATCCTAGGTACTTTACACATATGCTGCTATGTATGATAATCTATGTAACTGTATTTGTGTATACCTGAATAAACTTACATACGAAAGGAATAATTTTCTACAGTTACCTCCAGTAACACATTTTTACTTATGTTGGACTAGAGAAAATGTTATTCTTGCCGTCACTCATACAAGTTGTCTGGCTATCACATCCCATATTTATGTTTATTCTACTGTGGAGTGTATTTATCATCTTTATATATGTATCATGTTTATTATATAATTTTGAAAAAATATCATAGATGGATTAATGAAAATATGTATATTAACATAATATGCAACATTTAATGAGACTCAGTGATTATTATTATATCATCATCATTACTAATATGGTGTCTCGAGACATAAGAGACACTGATTTTAATGTGTACCTGCACGCCAGCACAGTAAGTTTATTTAGGTACAGGTATACACAAGTATAATTATCAGAGTATATATAAAATATGAAATAGCTTTTAAAAACACTTGAAATTCTGGAGTTTCCTGACATAATGAGAGATTTGGTGCTTACAGATATCACGGAGAATGTAAACAAACCGGGTGGGGTATGGTGACCGTATTAGAAAGTCAGGTGGGGGAGCCGTATAGAGAGTTTTGGTCATAATTTGAAATGACCATATTAGCGGAACGGTGTAAAGCGGGGCCCTACTGTAGGTACACCTTTGCCATCAGCACTGTATGACCCTGATGGGTTTAGCACTTATTTATGAATTATTTTTTTTTTTTTCAACAAGTCGGCCGTCTCCCACAGAGGCAGGGTGACCCAAAAAAGAAAGAAAATCCCCAAAAAGAAAATACTTTCATCATCATTCAACACTTTCACCATACTCGCACATTATCACTGTTTTTGCAGAGGTGCTCAGAATACAACAGTCTAGAAGCATACACATATAAAGATACACAACATATCCCTCCAAACTCCCAATATCCCAAACCCCTCCTTCAAAGTGCAGGCACTGTACTTCCCATTTTCAGGACTCAAGTCCGACTATATGAAAATAACCGGTTTCCCTGAATCCCTTCACTAAATATTACCCTGCTCACACTCCAACAGATCGTCAGGTCCCAAGTACCATTCGTCTCCATTCACTCCTATCTAACATGCTCACGCACGCTTGCTGGAAGTCCAAGCCCCTTGCCCACAAAACCTCCTTTACCCCCTCTCTCCAACCCTTTCGAGGACGACCCCTACCCCGCCTTCCTTCCCCTATAGATTTATATGCTTTCCATGTCATTCTACTTTGATCCATTCTCTCTAAATGACCAAACCATTTCAACAACCCCTCTTCTGCCCTCTGACTAATACTTTTATTAACTCCACACCTTTTCCTAATTTCCACACTCCGAATTTTCTGCATAATATTTGCACCACACATTGCCCTTAAACGGGACATCTCCACTGCCTCCAACCGTCTCCTCGCTGCTGCATTTACCACCCAATGAATATAATATAATAATAAATCCCTAGTTGCATAGCTGATATTCTGTAGTTCAAGTAATTTCTTGGTACTTGACACAGTAACCCAAGTACAGTATATTTTAAGTCATCTTCCAATGGAAACAAGCCACCGACTTTTTGGGGGTTTATCCTAGGTAATTTACACTGATACTTGTACTTATGTGTACCGATGCCTAAATAAACTTATTTACTTATACAATCCCCCCCAAGATGTAAATTTGCCTTCAGTTTGTGCAGCTAAGAGTTCAAATTCAATAAAAATAATTTTGCAGTCATCTTCTTTCGTGAGCATACAATGGACCTGTCTTTCTTTGGTATCATATTTGGCATTTAATTTTGGATAGACTGTTACAGCTGAATGTAGCAGCCCAAGCACTGACTACCTTATTTGCTGTGTAGAGGATGGCGGTGTGAGATCTGACTGGTCTTGTTACCCTTAAATTCTATTTATATCTCTGAACACCATTTTCATCAATAATACCTACAGACACTAGTTTTCCTCATGTTACTATGGCTTGTGTGTTTTAGATACTATGGCTTCAGCAGAAGTTTAACACATTACTTTGTTACACAACTGAAGCTGCATCCATCTCATCTTCCGAAGCCAGGTTGGGCCAGCTGGGCCGACAGTTTGATGGATGAGGATTGACCAGGTTCTTGGACTGGAGGGAAAACATGAATGCAAGGTTTTCCTGCAACAGGACCAGCAATACACAAATAACCCACACATAAAAGGGAGAAGCTTACGACGACATTTCGGTCCAACTTGGACCATTTACAAAGTCACACTAACCAGAAGTGGAGCGGGACGGCTATATATAGGCAGGAAGAGGTGGTGGTAGTAGTAGTACAAGAATGGTATATAATACCGACAAGATGAAATTAAGACACATGCGCAACACCCGGGCATCCCTATCGTAGACGTTTCGCCATCCAGCCAGCCACTGGATGGCGAAACGTCCACAACAAAGACAACCAGACGCCGCACATGTGTCTTAATTTCATCATAGTAGTAGTAGTAGTAGTAGTATAGTAGTAGTAGTAGATAGTAGTAGTTAGTAGTAGTAGTAGTAGATAGTAGGAGTCAGTAGATAGAATAGAGTAGTAGTATAGTAGTGTAGTGATAGTAGTAGTAGTAGTAGTAGTAGTAGTAGTAGTAGTAGTAGTAGTAGGAGTAGTAGTAGGAGTAGTAGTAGGAGTAGTAGTAGGAGTAGTAGTAGTAGTAGTAGGTAGTAGTAGGAGTAGTAGTAGAGTAGTATAGTAGTAGTATAGTATATATATAGTTTAGAGTAATGTAGTTAGTAGAGAAGTAGTAGTAGTAGGAGTAGTGAAGTAGTAGAGTAGGAGTAGTAGGAGTAGTAGGAGTAGTAGGTAGAGTAGTAGAGAGTAGGTAGAGTAGGAGTAGTAGAGTAGTAGTAGTAGATAGTAGCAGCAGCGCAGCGCAGCGCAGCCTAGCCTAACCTAACCTAACCTAACCAAGCCAGTCAAATACAAAGGAAGGGGAGCACTGCAAGAGAGCTAGGTGCCCACAGAGGGAGAGCAAACGCACAGAGGTGCGTGAAAGGGGAAGTGGTGAAATAAATGAAGAAGGAAGAAACAGAAACACGAGACAGAAGAGAGAAAGACAACCTAGAGGAGAAAAAGGAAAGAGGAAAGGGGAAGAGGGAGAAGAAAAAGAAAAAGAAAAAATGAGGAGTCAGGTTAAGTCACGAGTGTTCTGAAGTTTGGAGCATTTTACAATGTAGTGGGAGAGGAAGGCATCTACAGAGACAAAGCCAGGGCTAAGATTCATACAAGGAAAGTTGTGTATTAGAGAGGATTCAACTAGACGGCAACTGTTCGAGTTGGAAGTAGGGAAGACAGTTTTAGCAGAAGACCAGTCAATAGGATGGCTATGATCTCTGACGTGACAGAAAAGAGCATTGTTAGTGTTGGCAAGCCTAACACTATTTTTGTGCTCCCTAAGTCTGTCAGAAAGAGATCGACCAGTTTCTCCGAAGTATTGAAGAGGACAGGAGCAAGAAACAGAGTAGACACCAGGAACATCTGTAGAGGGAGGAGAGGTATGAACGAGATTAGTGCGAAGAGTGTTAGTCTGGTGGAAGGTGAGCTTGATGTCTAAGGGACGGAGAGAATTGTTGAGATTAGAAAGACCGGAAATGTAGGGAAGGCAGAGGATAGAAGAGTTCCCAGGAGTAGAGAGTTTGGGAGAGAAGAAATTGCATTTAGCACGTGAGAGGGCAGAGTCTATGAAATGGGAAGGGTAGCCAAGATGGGAAAAAGAATTAAGAGTGGAAATTTCTGCTGGAAGGAACCGAGGATCACAGATGCAGAGGGCACGGAGAAAGAGGGAGATAAGAACACTTTTCTTGACAGGGAAAGCATGATAGGAAAAGTAGTGAATGTACATGCCACTGTGCATAGGTTTTCGGTAAACGGAAAGGGAAAAACCTGTATCTGAGCAGTGGACATGGACATCAGGGAAAGGAAGCAAGGAATTAGATTCCAATTCAGCTTTAAACTTAATGGAAGGGGCAAGATTATTAAGAGCTTCAAGAAAAGGTTGGAAGAGACTGGAGTCATGAGGCCACAGAGCAAAGATGTCATCCACATAGCGGAGCCAGAGCGAAGGTTGCACATCGAGGATAGGAAGAACAGTCTCGAAGTATTCCATGTAAAGATTAGCAAGGACAGGAGAGAGAGGAGAGCCCATAGTGACACCGAAGGTTTGAGAATAATATTTCCCTTGGAAGGAAAAGGAGTTAGAGTCCACACAGAGGTGGATAAGATCAAGAAAGACATCAGTAGGTATAGGGAGATGAAGAAAACCCTTCATCGGCCTTCAATATGCCCTAAATCAGCTGGTTCAGTGGTGTCAAAACAATGTTCAGTGCTGTCAAAACAATCAGTTACAGGGGTGATCCACAAGCGCACACACAAATGATCAACCCTAGGTAAATAGTAAAAAAAATAGCAAAAAAGTAGCAAGACAATTAACACCAAAATAAAATCATGCCTCACAAATGTTTTTTCTCACCTATACAGTATAGTATACAGCTTCATCCTTGTCAAAGCTTATTCTAATGAACATGTTTAATATTCACTACAGCTTTTATTTGGGTTTCCTAAGCTGATAAAAGAAATGTCAAAAAACAAGCAAATTTGAGTAACTTGTAATGCCTCACCTTGTTCACCAATACCTGTGTGGTTTGTGTCACATTCTTTTGGGTTCTTGACAACATAGGATAAAAGACAAGTTGTAAGTGGGATACACGTTGTCCATGTGCATTCTTCCAATCATGGTTAAAGATGCATCTTCCTGCACTCCATCACAGTACAAAAGGAGGAAATCGGGATTGATTGCGGAAAATAGTTTCAAATTGCCATAAATTTAAGTACCTGAAATAGCTTATATTTAATGAGAATTTTTGAGGAACTGAGGAATAACATTCCACTGAACACAAACTTCCATTTGAAAAAATTATATATACCGCTTACTTTTTAACCAAATATTAAGAAAAAACAGAGCCGCACTGAGTGTGTTGAATGTACCACCAATTGATAACAAGCCTTTATTACAGACAACCTTCACTCTAAGAACTTCCTCAGGTCTAATCTTGTTTAACCCTTTGACTGTCGCAAGCCCTTTCTGAAACTGTCATTCTATGTCGCAAAAGTTTTGGGAAAAAAAAAAATTTCTTATGAAATGATAGAGAATCTTTTCCCGATGGTAATGACACCAAAAGTACGAAATTTGGTCTAAAACTCACGGAATTACACTCCCGCGAAGTTAGCAATCTCGGCGACATATACGCATCAGCATATCACCGACTTTGAACCCTGTTTTTGGCCAATTCCGTTGTTCCAGTTGACCAAACTCCTAGTTATTTCTTTAGAACTCCATTTTTTCTATCAGTTGAGTACAAGAAACCGCCCATTTACCGATTTGAACTACCCAATAAAGTGGTCAGAAATTGGCAATTTGGCCAATTTCACGCAAATTAAAAAAGATGCCAATTTCAAAATAGGATCCAGAATAAACAATGTAGACATTCTTGGCACTAAAATAACATCCTCTGTTCATTAGTCACGTCTCTAGGCCCCTCTTATATTACTATTGCTATTTTGAATTTTTATTCATACAAAAAAATACAAAATTTACTGTTATGCAGACTACTGCATTATTGTGAAAATGGTATAAATAATATCAGTGCACTAGTGAAAGAATAATAGGCTCCCCAGTTGACATGTATTGGATGTGTGGTGTAATTTGCTTACTCCTGAACATTGGTAAAAATCGAACATTTCCGCTACTTTGAGCTCAATTTCAAGGTCATTTTCATCGTGAAAGTAATAAAAATCATCTCTATTTCTGTAATATGTTTTCCATTTTATCACCCGAGACCAAGAAAACGAGAATACAACGATAAATACTATACGAAAATACACCTCAAAGTCGGCGTTTTAATAAAAAAAAAAAAACTTTTTTTCTCATTATGCACTGCATGCTGCAGGATTTTTATGTGGTGCACACTGACCACACAGACCCATTCTCTCACATGTGGGCCTACCAGCTTTCTCCTGTTTGATTTGAAGCCGCTAGAATTTACGTGTATAAATACATCAGAAACAGTGGTGCGCAAGATGTATATATACGACGTAAACAGTCAAAGGGTTAATGCAGCTACTGACCAAAGAAAAAAAAGTTTTGCAAATAAGAAGTCTTGTTCTTACATTTGTCATCATTATGGTCACAACACAGTATGATCCCCTAAGAATCATAGTGTTAAGTCTTGTCTTTCATTTAGTATCACGTCTGCTTGTTAATAAGCTGATCTTGCACTAGTGGTGTAGTCATCTTTTAACTGCTTTGCTGAGGTTTACTATTTATATTTACAGAATGAGAAGTAGGGCCAGGATGAAAGTAAATTAATGAATTACTGTATGTAAGTGTAGAAAAACACAGAAATTCTAGTTATAAATTATTTTGAGTTATAAATACTGTTTACACATCATCGGTACATTTACGTAGGCTTACAATAAAAAATCACTCGAACACTTAAATATATTTATATCACGCTTCTCATACAATCAGCCGAGAGAAAGACATAAGTATTTTTTAGGAGACAAAAATACCCATTGACATATCATTACAGTAATCAGAATATTACACAGACGGGCACACTGATCTTTGAAGTGAGGGAGACAGTTGATTTTGGCACAGTGGTCCATGGGTAGAAGAGGGTTGACCCAAAGCTCAGGAGTCTTGTAGGCAACCTGACTGAGGCACCAACACACAGTGCAGAGTCATGTATATCAGAAGAAGCTGGGCAATAGGCTCTACATTCCTTGTTGGAGTTGGGCTGAAGGCTCATACATTTCACTTGCAGGTCCAGGTTGGCTTTTTGAACAAGGTCACTGGTGAACTGTAGTGTACTCAAGGTTACATTTTCTCAGAAGATGCAGGAACAGCATAATGCCAAAGGTTCTCATTCATGAGACAGATTGGCTAATTTGCTTTGTGTTGTTCCCATGAATTACATCTGGTACAGTACAAGTCTACCTCATCACCTAAACCTGTGCCATAGACCCAACCTGCTTGGTCCTTCTTTCCAACCCACCACAGCTCAGCAGCAAACATGCACACAAACATCCACTCACACTCTCTCAGACCAACATTTACAAATAGAATAGTTATGGGAACAATTCATGTATCTATTAAAATGTCTATCAATCTACAGCTAACATCAATCTCTTTGGCTTAAGATCCAAACTAAAGTAATGAAAATGCAATTAAGTACAATACCAATGACAACATGAATGATTGTATTACAGGGCGGGATTGCAAGGGTTAGGGGAATGAGGTGTTCTGTATCCAACATAGGCTGGGTGCTCTGAACAGGAAGAGGCAACTTAAAAGTATGGTGCTTTGTCCAACCTTATATCGCAACAGGTGCTGCAACAGACAAGCACCACAGATGGAAGGACTTCAGGAAGAGGAAGAGTAGGAGGGATGATACTGCCAGATCGCACATGCATACAGCAAAAATGCATCCTATGCAAATATTTTGTACACCGCATTTGTTTTGTGCACCAGCCCTACCCTAGAGCACCCAGATGATGAGGAAGAGAAGAATACTGACGATCACAGTGAGTCCAGCCCCACTGTGAGTTGAGACTCACTGAGAGTTGAGACTCACAGCGAGTCAAGTTCCACAGTAAGTTGGGCCCTACTTTAAGTTGGACTCCATGGTAAATTAGAGCCCCAAGGGAAATCGGGATCCCAACACTTCTCCCTGCCACCACTTTCCTTCCAAGCCGCTGCCATTAAAAGATTATGACTTACAGAAGCCCATACTGTGCAACCTCAACTAATTTGGCCCCATTTTCTGAAACAGGCACATGGTTATTAAATACTCATTAGACCATCATAGAGCCGATTACAAAAATTTTATAGAATATAAAAAGAATTTTCCTTTACCGTGTTCAACTGTTGCAGAATTTGGGCCCGAGCCTGCACCATTTAAAATAGAAAGATGCAAATTACTTCTGTAAGCTTCCAGCCTACAGCAGCAGCTGAGCCTGGAGTGGCATAACAGGGGTGAGGGCCCAGATACCACCAAGGATTTTATAGAGTACCTTCCCCCCTTTTGAGATTCAAGATGCACAAACTAGTGACAACAGAGAGAAAACTCTCTATTACCTCTTGGTGCTCACATCTGGCACAGGGGGAGGCAAATATACCAGATACTACGAATAGCATTTTCCAATACATTACGAGACTGGACACCGAGTGTAGCACTCCTGTACAATAGGCTTAACCCTACCAAGTGCTGCAGTGTGTGTCAAGTCAGTAGGGCATGTCACTGGCAAAGCCGAAAATCATAGTCCAGCATACAAATCAGGCTGGGCTATCAGAGACCACTCTGGCAGTGAGGTGAAAAGGTCATTCTCCACTGCACACTGTAGAGTAAATGCCACTGACTGCTATACTGGACTAATGAACACAGTGTCTTCTACAGAGCATTAATGGTGGGTACACTGCTTGTTTTACATGTTTTTTTAATAAAGCAGGCCAGCTATGACATCAGCAGAGAAACAAAGCTGCTTCTGCTGTGCATGCAATTGTTTTCAGCTTCACAGCATACAGCAGCCACTCACTGGCAGACAACAGCAAAAATAGCATCTCTCACCTGACCAGGATGCTCAGTCTACATCACAGTCTCTCACATGCTGTCAGAATTTTTGCAGACTCCGTTCACCTTCACCATGCATCGGGTCAGTTTGTGTGTTGCATGCACCACAATTCCCCAACAATGGTGGAGGCTTGTATGGCATTTAAAACCGCTGCAAAAGGCTGTCTGGCCATGACTGTCTGTTGGACTGCAAACAAACAAGCGTTCCTGGTTTTGCTGGGTTGTAAGCAGCTCACAAGACAACTATCTACTTAACAATGCAGATTTTGACCACAACACAAACAATGAAGACAGTAAAACTGCACACTACATGATTTGATTCTTTTTTTTTTTCCTACCAGTACATTATCTACTATCTTTGGCCTTGTTGTAATACCAATGTTTTCTGGGCTATGAGATATAGTAATGAGTCAAGAATGGTTGGAGAACACTGCCTTGGTGGTAGGTGTGCGAGGGTGGATGCAACACGACACCACACCAAATTTGACCCGAGGGTTAGGAGTGGTTAACAAATCCCCTTCTAACCCAGGGTCAAACAATATTGCACACACAGACAGCAGGTGTGGCTTGTGGTGCATAGGCTATAAGTATGGCCTAGGGCAGCCAGTGATCACAGTGGCACCAGCCACCTGGGGGAGACGGAGCACTGCCTGTCCTCCATCACGCTCACCCACCGGTCACAACAAAATTCCTTCTTTGTGCGAAAGACGATAAGGCAGATGACAAGAGTGGTTTGAGTGGCCAGCTGGGGGCCACACTCATGACTGGACCTGGGCCCCCAGTGGCACATTGACATACAACCTAGTTTCTCTGCTCCCAACCAGACCAGAGGTGGGCCAGGAGTAGAGATCAGGCTTGGAGCAATATTGTGGGCACACGCAGGTGCAAGGCAGAGAAGCACCGGGCAGTGCTGGGGGAGACTTGCCCACACCTCGCTGCCCACACATCACACCACCACACTACCAAAAAATAAAATAACCAACAGGCATAAACAATTGGAAGATTTGCTAGAGGACACAGCGGTGACGGGTCGCAGCATCACTGGCTTAATTCACTAACCTGAGACCATAGCCAATATTAGCCTAGTCTGGGCTACTTCACCAGTACAGAGAGTCTCAATACAGTATCATATGTCACAATTAAAGAAATAACTCATTGCAAGTCTCTGACACTGTTGACTCCCACCATTTACCATACACCTTTAATAGAAAGGGTTTTGATACAGTAAATTCATTAGTAATTACAGTACATTATAAAATCAGCACCTCAATTGTATTGTCACCATATGAATGTTTAAAAAGTGAATTGCAAAGGGGATTAACCTGTTACAGAGTGATCTATTAATTAAAGTGAGTTGCCTGGTTTTTTGGGGAGATGCCACCGAGTGGTAGACGACGTAGCCTGTATGGCTATCTTGGCTACAGGGCTGATCTACAACCTCTAATAAGGCTGCGACACACACACACATCACCGCCTGGGACTTGTTACATATATGCGCATACACACCAACATTCAGGGGTAGGGTAGGATGGGGGTGGGGGGATTTCTGTCCCCTGCTACTATGCATTTAGAATAACATATTTCTGTGTACATAATCTTTCAGTTCCCTATCTTCTTATTAGGTCATTACTATATTGGGTGGAGAACTTTTGTTCCTTTTCTTTATGTGAAATGCAATACTGGTTTAAGCTCAATACGTGAATCAATAATTGTGGACCTTAATCAGTTGTGGCTGCAACTTTAAGGTAAAACCTTCCATGTCTTGTCAAAAGCTCAGTAACATCAAACCCTTATTAAAACTGCCAAGGAAATAGAGAAGACACACACAGTAATTGTATGCCATTTTGTGAACTATAAAAGCACATTACCACGTTGGCTACAATAGTATAGTTTATCCACTAACTGCATGTTTGTAGTACACTGCTGATGGGAACACCAATGGTGAACTTCGAAGCCGCATTTAAGAAGTACCATTGTCCTCTTCATAACACAGGAGAACAGTCTTACCTAGTACAACTAAAAGGTTCACAAAAAGCTGCTCTCATCACAAGATTGTAAACTGTGCGTAGATAAGAGTTACTAGGGGTTGCAGTCGTTGCCCTGGACAAGCAAATGCAAGCAGCACAAATTAACATCCAATTCCTCACCTGTTTCGTGAGTACCCGAGGCCCTTGTCCAACTCTGGTGTTTGTTTTCAATAGGAAAAACTGAGTAATACAGCCAAGAAAGTGGCTCTTCAGTAGTTGGCAGAGCATTTTCACGAAAACATCATCGCTTAGGCTCCTGCATATTCACATAGCATAGCACCTTTTCTCAGATAAAGTGCTCTATTACTGGAAGGGTAATCTCTCCATTTATATATAAAGGTTAATTGGAAACTATTAACTTTAAGCTCCTTTCATTTGCTCCTTCCTCGAGCACAACTGCACTTCCTTCGAAGCCAGACCTGAAACTAGTAGTGACCAGTTTTGTCTACTTTGTCACTAGTAACTTTGAATCATTTGATACTATCTGACACTTGATGAGCAAATCTTATCATTGGGTAGTATTTTCAATTTCACTGCACTGCAATCATTGCTGGACACCTATTGAATGATCAGAGCTGCTCATTGCGTCAAAAATGCAATAGGCTTAAAACCTCCAGTAATGGAAGTTAAAAGATTGGCATTCATGTTCCTAACATTACACTGAGAGAAGTTAGCAAAAAATAAATAAACAATTGGTCACCTCTTTTGTAAAATTCTTTATGAACATTTTACTGTTGCATTACATTTGAGATACGTCATGCACTGACAATACTATATAAATACTATTCACAATAAAAAAAGCATTCTACATCTTGTCTGTGAAATATCTTTCCATAATGAAATATATTCATTTAAAAAATATTGTAACCTATAGGCTCAGAGATCTTCCGCTTTAAAACTTTACCAAAATTATCCATCATAAGAGTATTATAGAAATAACTGCAATACACCTATTTTCTGTTGTGCTTGTTGACATCCAACTCTTTGTGCATTTAAAATGGTTAAAAAATTATTCTTTGCTTATATAGCTTTGATCACCTGGTTGATTTAAAAGTCTCCTCTGAAAGAATATTGAGTTTTCCAATTTTTGGGCTTTCAAAATTCCAGGAGAGACTTTAGCACTTTGTACCTGAAAAAGAAACAATTCATTATTATCTGCCTCCTGATCAACAGTGTAATAATTATTATATTAGAAAAATAAGCACTGAACCTGTATGAGCCAAACAGCTCCTGATCTACAACTGCTCTTCTGCCTTGGGTATTTGTTCTCTTATTATTTTATTATTATTTTTAATTTATTTTTTATTATTTTTCCTCCCTCTGTGTTCTTGTTCCTACCCTCTGTGGGCCCCTAGCTCCCTTGCAATGCTCCTCTTTCTTAGTATTTGATTGACTCCACACTACTACTACTACCTCCACTATTACCTCTCTTGCTTCTGTCAATGTCTACTGGCCTACATATACTCCCTCCTTCTCTCCTTTCTGTTAGTGTGACTTTGTAAATGGTCCAAGTTGAACCAAAACATCATTGTAAGCTCCTCTTTTCTATGTTCAGGTTATTAGTGTATTGTTCCAGTCACAGTATTGTGCCTTTTCTTGTTATCTCTGTTCCTATCAACAAAGGGTAAAAGTGATGTAATAAACTTCATAAGAGTCCATCGAGCATACAACATTTCTAATTAAAATTGGTGGTGGTGGGGGGGGGGGGGGGCAGTGTGTGTGCACTCTGAAGGAGAGGTGAGGACACTGCAGTTTGGTGAGGAACATGAGCTGTAATGTCAGCACACACTGGCAAGACAGTGAGAGAATGGTGGTGATTATTTTCTCTTTTTTGGATCATCCTACCTTGATGGTAGATGGCCAGTGTTAAACAAAAAAGTGCAATAGATACTACAATAAATCTATTAACCTTACATCTACTTAAACTGATATGACAACAAATGTGCACAAAACTTGAATGTTTCAAAAGTAAATTCAAAAGTAATTACCCATTCATTCTTCCATATTCAAAGTCTTTCATGATAGACCCAGTCATTCCATTTTTTAACAAACCAGCCAACTCCCACAGGTAGAGTGACCCTTAAAAAGAAACATTCATTATCACTCATTTAAGAGATGTCTTGCCACAAGTGTGCTAGCATCACAATTCAAATGACCACCAGAACTGCAGCATCCCTGCCCCTCCATAGTACAGGCACTCTACTTCCCACCACCACCAAGACTTCAATCCAGCTAACCCGTTTTCCTGAATCCCTTCACAAATGTTAACTTACTTATACTCCAACAGCACATCAAGCTATAAATAGAAAACCACTCCTCTCCATTCACCCTGATCTAAAACACAAACAAAAATACACTCATTATCCAAGTAACCAACCAGCTATAGTTACAAACACATTACTATACTCACTCTGCTGCACTAACTTAGGCCTGACACGGTGTAGCCGCCGTTGACTTAAATGCTTTGTTAACGAAAGAGAATCCTCTAAATTCATCTTGATTAATGGCACGCACCACCTCTGCATTAATGAATGTCAGGGTTGGTTCTTCCTTAGTAAACTCTGCATCGAAGTTGACAGCGTCCTTACGTCCCTTCTGTTGTGGCGAGAAAACATTTGCATTCAAATGGCACAAAGCATTTCTAGCATAAATTTATTATGCCACTATAGTATTCATTTCTCTACATTAATATTTAAAAAGACAAGATTTCAAAATCAATATGTTCAATTTGATCTTAAAGTTGTAATTTATTTAAATACATATTTTACATGATGAGGAAATCATCAATAACAAAATATATACAACAGTTCTTTTACGAGCATAACAAGATCACATCAGTATCTCTTAAGATTTATACAATATATAGTGGAACGGCTGACTTGTTGAAAAAAAAAAAAAAATAGTATTATTGTTACTGCACCTATCCAAGCCCAAACCCCTGCTTGATGTGGCCAGTATTCGTCAGCAAGTGTGTTATCCTTAGCACTTGGAATTAAGAATACTATACAAAGCACCATCCACTGATATACTTTCCCTCTGCATCCAAGCAAGCTATTTCTTATAAATATTAAATAGGAATCCATAAAAAAAAAATCCAAACACAACTTTCAGAATACTCACAAGTTTAGGTGTGAATGGAGGCTTCACTTTCCTTAATTCAAGTGCCTCCCAGTCAATTTCACGAAAGAATTTATGGTTACGGATTGCCAATTCACCACCACGCTCCAAGACGCACCCTAATCGCTTTGAAGGTTCCTTTGTCATGAACTGTGAAAGATGATCCTTAGTTATACTTCATCCCCTTTGACATTTAACTCCTGAATCAACTGTGACAATTCAAGTAATGTATTTCCTAGTGTAACTTGTATAAATTATTCTCTTTGCCCCAACAACTACAAATATGGAAATTCAAATAAAAAAATACTTCTATTAATTATCACAAACTTCCTGAACAGTGTTTTAATACAAATAAGAAGCACAAAAATTAATTTAATGAATAAAACAATGTTGTATTCACAGAGTAAGTGACACTGAGCAGATCTTTTTTTCCCCTATCACATACAATAACTAAGTTTAGTCAATGGAAAGAGAAAAAAAAACTAACCCCTTTTAAAATGGATACTGCCTCCTTGGAGAGCCAAACTGGGTACAAAACTTCTTCATGCAAGATGGACTCGAATAGGTCATCCTCATTGTCAGCTTCAAACGGAGGCTGGCCAGCCATCATTTCATACATGAGGACACCCAACGCCCACCAGTCAACACTGGCCCCATAATCTAGTTCTTTTAGGATCTGTTGGATAAATCATTTATTTTAATATTGCTGGCAGTTACAATTTTATATTATTTGGTTATGCAAGTAGGATATTCTTATCAAAAGCACACGTTAACACCTTTGCCATGATAATGTTACAGTTGCATTCCTTTTTATTTTAACTGTGTTAGTTTGTATTAAACTATCAAAATACAAAACAAAAGCATGTATTAAATAAATAAGCAAAAATTACAATTTTGGTGACCAAAAATAAAATTCAACCTTAACATCCACACTAACTTTTTTCTATCAGGCATAATGTTGCCTGTCCATACTAAAAAAAAAAAAACAGACAGACAAAATTAGGTTTACAGGAAATTAGTTAATTTAGAAAAAATCTGGCACATCAAAATTTCATTCACATTATCTCAATCTCACAAATTTTACTTAGATGAAAAGTTAGTTGCATGACTTTTTAAGAATTGAAAAAAACTAAAATTTCTTCCAAGGATATTTGTAAGTACCCCGGTAATATTTTGTGCACAAACACTATTCCCAAGGCTGGGTTACCTTTACAGGGTAGGGAAGATACAGTGGAGTGTGTTTGGAATGCTACTGACTCCCAAGCACAGTCCACTGAGAGAACCTAAATTTTATTTAATTTTAAATGGTGAGGATATTTTCTCATTAAAATTTCAGTGCTCAATAGCCTTAATGGATTTAGCACTTTTAATGAATAAAATACTAAATTAATTTATCACATGTCACACTGTCAACTAGCACCCTTATAGAAGGGAACAGAACCTTTACTAGTCTGGGGTATTTTGCTAGGAAAGGATTCAATGCACAGCATATAAAAGAAGGCTTCAATTAACAGGCTAGACAATCATTAAAGTTACATGTTTCTCTTTACAAATCCATTGTGTGTGTGTCTTAGTGATTTTCAATTACTAAAAAAAAAAAGGCATAGTACAGACATAATACTTAACAGATGACAGCATCTTGCATCAATCTATAAACAATGCTTTACTTCACAAAACCTCCTTCAAATAAAGTGTTCAGAAATATATAAAGGCAATCCTCAAATGCATGTAGGCCTACTGAACACTGCCCTGTTAAACAAGACTAATGCATTAGACTATCCTTATCCATGGGCCCAATCCTCTTCTAAAGGATGTCAGCACCACACAGCAAGCCAGCTCAAAGTGCCTACTGCACTGCATAATTCAACTGTGCTCAGCATAGACAATAGTTATGACCAATCAATCTCAATATTTATAGATATTATCAAATGCCGCATTGTATTTTGCTAAAAATAACTGGTAATAATGCACTAAATATAGCAAGTGTTTGATGTAGATTAAACTAGGATATTTTCTTTGTGCACTGTAGTAGTTGCATAAAACCTCACTTAGCATGCTCACTATAACTCGCAGTGCGCCTTGCACCGGTGTTCCACACACACACACAAAACTCCAAGTATTGCATTCTCCAAGTTTTCAACATGGATGAAACTAGCAATTTTCTTTGGTACTATAAAACACACGATAGTGTACATGTGGGTTGAAAACACCTTTGTGATATACTCGTCTTGCCACCCACCCCATGCATATTTATCAACAAAGCAAACAAAAGCATGTTTGTATTTTACATGAAATAAGCAATAGTGCATATATACTTCATGTAGTTTAATGCATGTGAAACCAGCTTATTTTTTTTTATTAACACATCGGCTGTTTCCCACCAAGGCAGGGTGGCCTGAAAAAGAAAAACTTTCATCACTCGCTCACTCCACTGTCTTGCCAGAGGCATGCTTACACTACAGTTATAAAACTGCAACATTAGCACCCCCTCCTGCAGAGTGCCAGCACTGTACTTCCCATCTCCAGGAATCAAGTCTGGCCTGCCGGTTCCCTGAATCCCTTCATAAATGTTACCTTGCTTACACTCCAAGAGCACGTCAAGTTCTAGAAACCCTTTGTCTCCATTCGCTCCTATCTAACATGCTCACACATGCTTGCTAGAAGTCCAAGCCCCTCACACACAAAACCTGCTTTACCCCCTCCCTCCAACCTTTCCTGGGCTGACCCCTACCCCGCCTTCCCTCCACTACAGATTTATATACTCTTGAAGTCATTCTATTTTGTTCCATCCTCTCTACATGTCCAAACCATCTCAATAACCTCTACTCAGCCCTCTGGATAATAGTTTTGGTAATCCCACACTACCTCCTCCTAATCTCCATCTTTTTATGCATTCCATATACAGTGGACTCCCGGTTAACGAACTTTTTCATTCAGTATATGTCAGGTGCCATACTGACCGAATTTTTCCCATAAGGAATATTGTGAAGTAGTTAGTCCATTCAGACCCAACATACACGTACAACGCACTTACTAAATCACTTACATAATTGGTCGCATTCGGGGTATCGATATTGGGGTCCATGTATTAGGCAAGAATTTTATAAACACACTCACCATCTCTCCATTACATCATTCATCACGGTCTTATGCAAAAGCATTGCATTCCCAATAAGCCTGAATCAACATTGAACCAATTGCAATATTTTTTACAAATCTATCTGCTCCATGAAGGAGCCAAACAAGGAACATTCATCAATCACTTGACTGCTGATGCCCAGTGCAGACATCATAATTTAAATGACCGTCCAAACTAAGTTTCCCACCATTCTCCATAGTACAGGCACTGTATTACCCATCTCCTGGACATAAGTCTGCCTAACCACTGTCTTGGAATCCCTTCAGAAATGTTACCTTCCTCGAACTCCAACAGCACATCAAATGACTAAAACCACTTGTCTCCACTCACCCTGATCTAACACCTCTCACATACAGACCTGCTGGATATTCAAGACCCTATCACTTAAAACGTCCTTCACACCCTCCCTGGACTTCCCCTACCCTTGTTCCTTCCACCCCCAGATTTATACACCCTCTTAGTCATCCTGTTCTACTCCAGTCTCTCAAAGTCCAAACCCCCAACAACCCCTTCTCTGTCCTTGAATAATACCTTTCATGACCTCATACCATCTTCTAATTTCTATACTGAAAGTTTAAACCAAAACAATCCAGGAGTAATTATTAGAAAAAACTCACCATAGGATCGACTTACAAGAAATTCAGGTGTTACACTAACAAACTTAAAAACAGCCTTCTGATATGTGGATAAAGAATTGCTGAAAAAGCAATTCACATGTTTGGATGAAACTGGAAAATGCAGTGGTAATGTGGAGTTCACACCTAAGAAAATATGGATATGATAAAGTAAAAAAAAAATTACAAAGACGGAAAATACTAAATATTCTCTCACTACCTGATAGGGGAAAAAAAAGATATTTGTGAGACATCCAAGACCAGTTTCAAGGATTGTTTTACCCTATCAGCCTGACCTGAGGCCAGAGCTATAAACAAGGGCAAACAACTGCACAAAAAAAAATTTGTCAAATTGTTACTATGTATACAGTTTGTCTTCACAAACAGTAGAACACTGAATGGCATCCAGAGGAGGTAGTTAAGTGCTACAACCACTGGAAATACATATGACAATGAACACTCAAGATAGAACACCACAAGCATAAATCTGCTCCTGTAACTACGAGACAATCACAAGTAATCCCAAGAAGGTACAGAGATTTGACACTGGCAAGTTTCGGAGATAAAACCTCAGCCATAAGAACAGATGGAGAACTACATTTTGCAACATTGGTGAAAAGAAGACCTAGGGGGTGACGTGATGACATACAAGATATTCATCGGTACTGGCAATGTGGATAAAGATAAACTGAAAGGGGCGAGACCTGGACGAGGGTACACAAATGGAAACTAAACACTCATGAGAGGTGGATATAAAAGCAGTGAGAGGGTATGAGAGATTGGAATGCACTCAGAAAAGAAGTACTTAAAAACAAACTCTATACATGAATTTGAATGCAAATATGACAAAACATATGGGATTAGAGATGCTTCACACTGTTTGATTAATGATTAAGAACAGCCTAGGAGCTGGAGCACAGTCCCCTAAAGCACAATATAGAAGACATGAGTCCAGCATCAGATAACTGATCGTATTAAAAAAAAAAATCTCCATATCAATGCTAAGTGACATTTAGGAAGCTTTAAGCATTTGTGGCAACTAAGTGAGCTCTTTGAACATCAAAGGGAGGATATCCTAGACCCGGTCAATCCTGCTACAAACAAGCATTACCGAAGAGAGTTTCGGCAAGATGTCTCTTGATGATGTGGATGAGCATCTAATAGGACCCCATGTTGAGGCGTCTCCAGAAACCAAACTGCTGAAGTAGACTTTATCTAAGAGAAGATCTGAGGTCAGAGTGCAGATGAAGAAAACAGGATACGAGAAGCAGTTTGTTACATGTTCTACAAGAGCATCCCTCCGAGTCTCAAGGCAACCTCTCCCAAGCGAAGACCCTTAATGTCAATAAGGCTCTCTACATGGAGGTTTGCAAAAAGACCAAGAGAAACTGCCTCTTGGATAAGTTAGTAATAAGAAATCTCAAAAAAGCAACTTCTACAGTATAATTATTCTTCAAGATATGTGTAAAATAAAAAAAATAAAAATTTAATTAATTTTTTAGCTGAGAGAAATATGGAGATCACAAGAACCTAACACTTCTTACAATTAACAAACTGAACTCCCCATTCACAAATTCAACCCTCGTTCAGATGAACTCTGCAATATTATGAGAAGTGGCCCAGGATCCCCACGTGTGTGGAGACCACAGGTTCCATTTTGTATAAAAAAAATCACTTTGATGCAACAAAAAAAAAAAAAAAAAAAGTCATTTTTTTTTTCATTTCAAAGCAATTTGTATGAATACATCACACAACATTCTGAGTAATTATAAACACGGACAATTTTAAATTACACACACATTACACAAAGAGCATACGTGTAGCCTTAATGCTTCACTTGCTCTCATTCCATCAATGATGGGAGTCTATTTCATCAAGATGTGTGAATTGTAAAATTATACACTAAATTAAATGGAAATAATA